ATATATCTATACATATATATAGATATAGATGGATGGCTATGGATGGATATAGATATATCTATATCTATCTATATAGATAGATATATAGATAGATATAGATATATCTATCTATATCTATCTATATATCTATATAGATATATAGATAGATAAAGATAGATATAGATATATCTATATCTATCTTTATCTAGCTATATAGATATATAGATAGATAGAGATGGATGGATGGATACAGTATATATAAACTGGACATGCCTGCCTTTGAAGAAACTATTTTCTAGTTTTTATATTGATTTAAAGTTATAATTTTCTGAAATGATCGGGGTGGCTGAAGATTAATCCACGATGGTCAATGCCACCGTTGGCCACCCCCTGGCTCCACCTTTGCACCTGGTGGTGGATAACATGGCTCCCTCCACTCTCCAGGTCACTGTGCACCACCTCGGACAAGAGAAGAAAACCTCCCTCTGTTCTTCTCCACACTGTAACTCCCACTCTTTGAGTATTGTGAGAGAAAAACATTTAGGTTTACTTTCATGCTCTGTTCAGTTCCAGTCCAGAAAAACACTCATCTACAAACCTTCACTGTTCAAATCCCTCAGTGACGGGAACATCAGGGAACTGACGGAGTATTGTTTCAGACAGAGGTCGTTGTTTAGCGTATGTTGAAGAATACTGTCTGCTGGAGCTTCAAACGACCGATGATGTGTATAATTAGTGTTTTTCATTCAGGTGGATCTCCCCCCTGCTCAGGAAGGGCTTCACGAAGAAGCTGGAGCTGAGCGACGTCTACAAGGCTCCCTCTTTTGACCTGGCAGACACCCTCTCAGAGAGACTTGAAAGGTTGGAGCAAACCGTTCTTCACTTCATACCGAGAGAAGCATTCAACACAAAACGTGAAACGTTCATACACTCATATTTCATTTAGACTGGGACATGGTACACACAGAAACTGTTCAAACCTTTTAATCGTCCCATCAAAAAGAAAAAAGTTTGAATCTGAACGCAGCAACATAAAACGGGTCGGGGCAACAAACGGCTGGAACATTAAGTGGTGCGACTTAGAAAGAACATTTTGTATCTAACCAGTGGCAACGGACCAGTAAGAGAGGCTGAAGCTGTCACAAGTAAAGATGGGCAGGGGTTCACCAGTCTCTGAGAAACTCTAAAACTGGAGGGATTCCAGAATATTGCTCTTCAATGGGAAACGGTGAAGACTTGCAATCTCCATCATCTCCAGGTCATAATCTCAACAGATTATAAGGAGTTGTAGAAACGTCTGAGCTCATAGGATAAGGCCCTCAGGGGCCACTGCATTAAACCAGGCCTGGTTCTGGTTCTGGACTCAGGAACACTTCCACAGATCGTCTGTAAACACTTCATCCACAGATGCTGTTTAAAGCTCTATCAGACAAAGAAGAAGCCAGATGTGGACACCAACCAGATCCTCTGCCGTCCTCTCTGGACCAGAGCTCATTTCAAATGGACCGAGGTGGAGTCCAGAACTGTTCTGAGCTCAGACGGGTCAAAAATGTTTTCTTTTCTTTTCTCAAAGACGGCACCACGTCCCCCAAGAGGAGAGGAACTGTCCTGCTTTTGATCAGCTCACATCAAAAGCCTGCCTCTCTGATGGTATGGGGTTGCATTAGTGCCTCTTGTAGGGACAGCTCACACATGTGGAATATTGTTGCCTCAAGAGACTCCACTGGAGCTGATCACAGAACCATAACTGCCTTTGGTGGTCTGAGTCCCCCCCCCCAAGACAGGGCTGGACTTTAAAACAGGTCTAGACCAGAGCTGTGTCTGCAAACAGTTGGACTCAAAACCCCTGTCCTTTTGTCTTTAATCCATCGTCCTTTTGTCTTTAATCCATCGTCCTTTG